ATTTAAAATAATATAATATTAACCACCAAACAATAATAAGGGGATATATTGGAGCTTAGTTAATTTATTCAGTTCCAACTATCTTTCCCCTCTAAATAATGATGACAACTTTTCAAATTCTGTGAACTCCTTGCGGGTCATTTGGTTTGAATATGGCTTATGTCGGGTAAGTTATGCTCGGATAAATTATGTTCGGATAAGTTATGTTGGGATTGGTTATTCTGATATTAAATTTTATTCATTGTTTGGCATGTTATATTAAAAATAATAATTGCATAATTTCTAAAAAGAAGGTATAAGTTATCCCGACACTAATTTCCCCACCCTCTACAAGGTATAAGTTATTCCGGTACTAATTTTAATCCCGGAATAATGTATACCAGATTTGCTAACCAAACAAAGTGGTAGCATTAATTTTTATACCAACACTATACCTTCTTATACCTCATATCAAACGACCCCTTGTTTGGTTGGAATAGGGCTTATGCCGATATAAGTTATGCCGGTATAAGTTATGTTGGGATAAGTTATGCTGAGATTAGTTATGCTGAGATTGTTATTTATTCAATATCTGGTATGTTGTATTAAGAATGACAATTGTATAATTTCTAAGAAGAAGATATAAGTTATACCAGTGCTAATTACCCCCACCCTCTATAAAGTATAAGTTATCTCGGTATTAAAATTAACACCGGGATAACTTATACTTGATTTGCTAACCAAAAAGAGTATTAAAGTGGTATTAAATTTTTATATCATCCCTGTACCTTCTTATACCTCATACCAAACGACTCCTTAATGTTTAGTCACTCACGTATTGAGCTAACTCTCTTCTGTACTCGTTTGCTATTAGCATCTTCCCAGAGTTCTTTAATGAATATCATTTTGCTTCATCTATATTTATACTATATTAAAAGTACGAAATTTCTTAGCGAAATAGAGTTTCTATTATATATTACCTCCGAATTTTGGTGGAAAATAATGTTTTATTAGGATTAGAAAAATGCGTCAGTCTTTAAAAGCCTATTTGGAAAGCCACAAAGGAATTGGATTTGGGTGTAATTGAGAGTAATTACACAGTTTGGCATATTTGTTTGGCCAAGTAATTACTTGGTCAGCATAGAATTGGGTGTAATTGGAGGGGTGTAATTACGCTCTCCAATTCTCAAGGGGGATGTGAGAATTGGTGGTAATTACACTGTGTAATTATAAGGTTGCCTTTTAGTTTCTTTCCCTTTTATTTTAATTTTAATTTTTTTTCTTTATAACTTTTTATTTCTATTTTTTTTAATTTTATTTTTACTTTTTATTTTTTTTGAAATATTAAAATATATTTTATTTGTACATTATTTATATTTTATTTCTCTACCTTTACTTCTT